TTAATGTTTGTTAAATGATCCTATTGAAATTAAAGTTTATCCACAAAGTGCTCAAACTTAATTAAACCAAACTTATCTTTGATTAAAGTTTGACCGATGGAGCTTAAAAGAAAGTTGCCATAAATGACACAATTTCCAAATGATTTGTGGGCATTATTTAAATTTAGGATGCAGGAGCCTATTTCATGTTCATTTAAGCATTTCAAGTTTTATGGACATTTTGAGAGATTATTTTTTAGCATGCATTAACTGACACAAAGTTTGTGGGACAAATTATAGTTCAGAGTTTGATTGATTGGGAGTGGCTGCAGTGGTTAAAACTGGAATGTTTAACTCAGAGATGCTGTTTTTAACCACTTAACACTAAAACAACCTTTAAATATATCRTAAACCTCAGTGGTTCCAAAATATCTGCTTCTTCACACAACTGTTGACATTAAGATGCAAATACTGTCCAKCTAACYGAGTCTTACAATCTTTTATCCAGACAAAAAAGTATTTTTGGATCTTGTTTTAGGACACACTAAACAAAAGCAGAACATGTTAGATAATTAATCTTGTTAAAATGTATTTTTACATGGCTAATTTGTGCAAATTTAACTTTTGATTTTCAGCTTCTGATACAGAAAATGTTGTTTTATTGGTTTTATTGTGTTTAATGGGATTCACTGGGAGCTTGTGGTCAGTACGGGTTGGACTCCAGGGCTATCACTTGTCTCCGATCCTGTTTGTAGCATTTCCGGACAGGATCTCAATGAACAGTCATGGAGAGGAGGGGGTCTGGTTTGGGAACCACAGGGTCTCATCTCKGCTGTATGCAGATGATTTAGTTCTGTTGGTGTCTTCAGACTAAGACCTTCAGCATGCACTGGGGCAGTTCAAAGCCAAATGTGAAGCAGCTGGGATGAAGGTCAGTTCCTGTAAGTCTGAGGCCGTGGTTCTTGACTGGAAAAGGGTGGAATGACCCCTCCARGTCAGAGGAGAGTCTCTGCTTCAAGTAGAGGAGTTTAAGTATCTGGGTCTCTTGTTCATGAGTGATGGTAGGATGGAGATGGATCCACGGATTGGGGCCTCGTCCTCAGTAATGAGGGCSTTGGTCRGTCAGTCATGGTGAAGAAAGAGCTGAATCAAAAGGCAAACCTCTGGATCTACTGGTCCGTCTATGTTTCAACCCTCWCCTGTGGTCACGAGATGTGGATCAGAACCGAAAGAACCAGATMCCTTATACAARCGGACRAAATGAGCTTCCTTCGTAGGGTGGCCGGGCTCAGCCTTAGAGAAAGGGGGAGGAGCTCCATCATCCAGGGGGAGCGAGWAGAGCCGCTGCTCCTCCACATCGAAAGGAATCAGTTGAGGTGGTTCATCTGATTAGGACGCCTCCCTTTAGAGGTGYTTCCATGACTCACTGGTAGGAGGCCCCAGGGAAGACCCAGGACTCACTGGAGGGATTGTGTATCTTYTTTGGCCTGGRAACGCCTCGGGGTCCCCCAGGATGAGCTGGACWGTGTAGCTGGGGACAGGGAGGTCTGGGTTTCTCTTCTGGACCTGTTGCCTCCGYGACCCGACTACGGATAAGCAGAATATGGAGATGGTGCTTTATTTAGTCTTATTGAGTTTTATATGGTCCAACCTGGCTTTATGTTGTCTTATCTTTTTATTTTGACATTGTTTATAAAGTTGAGAGTTGTATTTACTTTTACACTGAGCACCTGGTCACTCTTTATTCGTGTGGCGTCTACTGCATGTTCATGTCGTATGTTTGTGTTTTGTGGAATGAAGTTGATTCATTTCACTGTGATGAAATTTACCTGCTGGTACAAATAAAGCAATACAAACTGTTTCATCAAGATGAGTTTTCCCTTTAGCTTCATAACCATTAAGTTGGGATTGAAGTTTTGAGAATAAGCTTGGAATCCCATTCAGGATATTAAACAGTCACTAACTGATGCTTCAGGAGCACAAATGTCACATGTCGGTTGTGCCAGCACTCTGTGGACACTACATAAGTTCGGGTAAGTTCTGCGAGCCGATTGTGGTTGGCTTGATGAGCGATGCCCTGGGTCAGCCAATTTGCTCAAAGTGTTCCTGCCAAGTAGAGAAGCTCATGTGATCAGCCGCAAGAATTAGCTCAAGATGCTATTAAAGGAGACGCTAATCCACAGTGCACTTGACCGCAAATTCAGCCCTTAGCCATCAGGGCGTTTAGGTAAACCCACCACAAGGTCAGAGCTGCATTAAAACTCCAGCGAGGGCAAAGCAGCAACTTCCTGACACGCAGGGCTGCTGGAGTCGGAGCGTCTTCTGAGTCCCGCTGGCAGGCAGCAGCCATACCTTAAGAGCTGTTATCGCTCTCAATCCTCACAGCCCAGAGGCAAAGCCAATTTTTTTCCCCCTTTTCTAATAATTGATGCGTTCTGATGCTGAACCTGTCTTCCATCTTTAAAAGATGTCCGTAGCTCCTGCGGGCTGCTCACAGCTCATGTTCTGCAAATGTGTGTTTTTGATGCTACATGCAGTTAGTTTTCTCACCTCTTCTTCTGCATCCTGCCTCCGCGCACCCCTCCCTTCCCCTTTCATGTCTTGATGGGAGTTCTGCTGAAGCAAATTTAAGCAGATGTTTTTTTTTCTTTAGAGGAAAAAGAAAAAAAATTCAATTCCACCACCCGTGCCTGGTTGTGATAACACCCCACGCTGTATATAGACCTGTCTTCGTCTTGACAATTTGGTTCCAATTAAACTATTTATACACGCTGTATTTTAGGGGTGAGAAGACCGCTTGAGGCATATTCTCTTCCGAGATGCTCCCTCCGTTGGCCTGGTCTTTTCTTTTTTTCTTTTTTGGTTATGGCACGTTTTTGTTTAGCTTCTCAGATGAGGTTGGACGAGTACGTTTTGAAGTGAGCAATGCACTCAAAGGCCTCAATAACTGAACATGGCAAAAAGCACAGCGGCGCTTATGTTCCTCATTACTCACCGTAACGAGAGGCTGCATATTTTTACTAACATCTCTTGCTCTGATTCACAAAATCATTTACCGCCCTCCCTAAACGCGATGTAGAATTAGCCTGCACTATCACCCCTTATCAAGGCAGCACTGTTAAATACCATAATTTGAGCCAATTTGAATACGGTTACACACCCAGACAGTTCACTCATCAGTGGTTTTTCCAGTTTCAGCCACTGCCTTCAGAATCTTTGCATTATGACGGGTCATTTGTATTCTCGTTCTCGTTTCCAATGACCTGTTCATTTCCATAATGCTGGTGGTGTTTGAGCTTGTTCTGCAGCAGCCCATACATATGCATGATGTTAAAGGCCTGGGAATGCATGTCACCCGGCCGCTGCCTCTCATCRCCATCTACTGGTATTGAGCAAAACTACACAACTTTTTTTTTCCTCGTTGCCTGCACCGGCCCAGTGATGCACCGGCCCACCGGGAAAAGTCCCGGTACTCCCAATGGCAAGTCCGCCCCTGCTCTGAGTACAAGTTGAAGATAATTCTCTTCATCAGGTTTTAGCACAATATGCGTTATAGCCAGAGGTGTGTAGTACTGTAACTAGTAGGGGTGCAACATGTATCCTTATGGAACTGTTCAATACAAAGCTTTAGGTTCAATACACACTATGTATGGAACGATACATATTTTAAAAATTTATTTTATTAGTCTGTCTTCTGAAGATGCTCTGTGTTGAAAGCTCAGTGGATCTGTGTTCGACTACTCCACCTAGGCTGCATTGTCTAGCACAGATCCACTGAGAAACTTGCAATTTCAGCAACATTTAATTTAAAACCTGTACGTTTGAGGTTAAATGAATGTTCATAATTAAGTTCAAAAAGTATGTCTAAATTATGGATCAGTTTGTTAGCATTACAGTATGTACASACCTAAAAGAGGCTTTCAGTTGATATGTTTTAATWCCATCTTTAACMCAGACATCTTTAAAATTTTCAGAAGTTGGCATAAGTTTTCTAAAAGGTTATAGTGCAACACAGCCTTTACTTGAGTAATTTCTCAGATGCCTAATTTTTACCATTAATTGAGTAAAAATATCTTCAAGTATTGATACTTTTACTTGAGTACATCTTTTGTCTGCCCAACTTATAGCCACGTTTCTTTTGGCTAATGTAGATTAGCTGTGGTGGCCAGACTGTAATAAGCTGTAGATGTAAATTATCATTGAATTGGTTTAATGTTTAATGATATATTTTGCTAACAGACAAACAACTTTGACCTTGGTTAAAACAAAAAAATACTTTAGAGAAAGACTAATTACAACCTCACCAAAATTAAATCAATATCTGTAAAATCTGATGAGTTCAAATCATTTCTGTGTTTCTCAGGCCAGTTGACTGTATGACTGACTTGTATTGGGTTCCAGCAYTTCAATAATTCATTAGATATTTGGTTAACGACACAGACAAACATGAGCAGACACAGGCTACAGCGTTGCATTTACCCAGCTTTTGGCAGTGGCTGATAAATATTGACAAAAAGAAAAGGTTATAAAACTATTAGGAGGTGTGAGTTAGCGCTCTTGTTGCTGCTTTGACCTATCGAGAGCTACTGTCTGCCATCGTCTCTTCATCTTTGCCAGTCCCTCAGGTTGTGCAGTCCCTGGATGCCGTGGTTGCAACTGACTCATTGCTCTTACATTGGCCTCTCAGACATACAACCAGATAACCATTTGTCAGCTTTTTTTGTGCCTCTGACAAGATGTCAGTGTGTGTGTGTGTGTGCACGGCGCCTGTGCTCAGAAAGACAGATAGAGATGTATAGATAATCTGACAAGCAAAGAAAGAGATGGGCAGGGGAGGGGAGGGGGGAGACAGACAGAACGAAAGGGTGGGAGGCGGGTAACATCGTTTTGTGGTTTCATCTGATTTGTGTGCTGCTGTGTGTGATACTGTTTTTGCTTGTGTTTTCATACGAGTGCGGCGTTTATCTCACGTCGCTCCTGCCCCGGCTTTTAACATCTTTTTCCTCTCTGCTGTTTCCTAGACGACGACCCGTTGCAGCCGGTGACCTCAGATGAGACGGTGTCCGTTGGGGGCAAAGTGACACTGACCTGCCGGGTGGCGGAGAGCGACAACTCCTCACTGCAGTGGTCCAACACCGCACAACAGACTCTGTACTTTGGAGAGAAGAGAGGTGAGAAGCAGTCAGAGAGTCCATCAGTTTTTGCTGAGTGGTTTCAGGAAGTGCAGATTTATTTGGATAAATAWGTTTTGAAGGATGCATAAGTGTCTCCTAAACTACCATATTTATTCAAGTATAATACATAAAATTAAATCCATAAAATCATCCATAAAGTTGGGTGGTAGTACTATACTCGGATAAATATTTTTACTTATGTATTTTAACTGAAATATCGGCTTCATTCACAAAATCATGAGTCCGGAAATGAGACGCGTCGTAAAAAGCAGTTGAAACGAGCTCACCTCTGACCCTCCTCTGTGCTACAGAACGAGATAATAACAGATCTAGGCAGGCGACATGATGTGAAAAAAAGGGGGAAAAAGCAGTCCTGCACCTTAGTAATGATAGCAAACTAATGACATTAGTGTGTGACCGAGCCGCTCCTCGAACAACAACAAACACATGTTCGTCTGTAATGGCTGCCATCTACCGGTGTTCTGAAAAAGTTTTTATCCCTGAAAAAACGTTTCCCCACCAGAGGGGGCGCTCGCGAGTAGGAAGTAATCTGCTTTTCCCCCACAAGATGGKCCAAATCTCATGTGAAGTCTCTGACTTTTGTGTTGGCGCCTCCTGGTGGACTATGTGTAAAATGCCAGAATTCATATGATGCTGCTACAGCTGATATACTGTATATTTGTTGTCAAAATACCTTTTAGTGCATATGTTGTTAAAATAAAATGAACAGTCCAATGATTAATTTTACTGATGTGTATAAAGACTGCAAAGGCTGAAAAATCTTGAAGTCTGTATGAAATGGGAGGTAGTTTGAGAATTTTTTTAATGCTTTTTAAGCTCAAAAAGTGTGGGGGGGTCGTATTATACATGAGATCGTGTTATACACGAATAAATACGGTATATTTACAGGTATTTGGAGAGGAGTGGGTGAGCTTGGATTTGGTTCAATTTCACTTATTTATACGGCACCATTTCACAATAAGTTATCTCAGAACACTAAGGAAAACAAAGTTTTACATCTATGTAGATCTATGTTTTCTATCAGTTTTTCCTTTGATACATTTCATCTTTTGTTGTTGAGTGTTTTTTGTACTTAATTGTAAAGCACTTTGCTCATTTCGAGGAGTTTAAAGGGCTTCATGAATAAATTAGATTGGATCAACTGAATATTTGTTAGGTTTTTTGGACACACAGATAAGGTRCCAGGCTCTGTAAAAGCCCTATACTCTGTCTGAAGCTGGGAAGTCTGCTCTCATTGTCACAGTTACGTGACAAAAACTGTCTTTTTGTTCACACAATCAAGGTTCAGGCCGAAATTTTTCTCAGAGAGAATGTACCGAGCTTTGTGGGATTGGTCAGAAGTCTGTGGGCGTGATTGTTTATGCAGAAAAGTGCTCTGACAACAATGACGGCATTTTGCTTAAATGTGCTTCCAGAAGCCTACTCTTGTGCGTTTAAACAACATGGATAGCTTTGAGGAGAAGTACTTATGTCCAAGAACCAGCTTTAGTAGGCCTGGGTCAGAACGCTGAGGTCCTCGCCTTTGGCTACTGCCCATCTTGCACCCGGCTCGTACAGCTCCTCCTGCTCATTCGTGAGTTGAGTTGTACCAGGCCTCATGGGTAGAGCCCCAGCCACCAGGTGCTCGCCGACGAGCCCCTCCCCCAGGCCTGGCTCCAGGGTGGGGCCCCGGTAACCCACGTCCAGGCAAAGGACACAGAGTTCCTTGGTATTTTGTGTCCATAAGTGTCGGTTGAATTATTCTTTGTCTGGCCTGTCACCTAGGACCAATCTGCCATGGGAGACCCCACCCTGGGCAATCAAAACTGAGGTGGGTTGGGTATCTGGTAAAGATGCATCCTGGATGCCTCCCTAGGGAGGTGCTTCAGGCATGTCTAACTGGAAGGAGACCCTGAGGAAGACCCAGGACATGCTAGAGAGACCATGTCTCTCGGCTGGCCTGGGAACGCCTTGGAGTCCTCGAGCTGGAAGAGTTGGTTGGGGAAAGAGAGATCTGGGCTTCATTGCTCAAGCTGCTGCCCCCCCCACCACCACCGCAAACCAACTTTAGATAAAGCAGAAGATAATGGATGGATGTCCATCTACATGACTCTTTCAGACACTTATAACGATAGTCAAATGGACAAAAACTCACAGATGGAAAAAGCACAAACACTTTGCACGGGGGAATCTGTCTGCTGAAAGTGTGGTACTCTAAATTCTTGACAGATTTGTGGCCAAACGGCAGATATCAGAGTGTTGTCTCGAGCAGGAAGAAAACCCRTGCTGTGACGTGTACCACAGTGGGAGGGGTTAACCTGAAGCTCAGCACAGTGTGCCTCGTGAACTATGAAAGGTGTGTGCGAAAACGAACGTTGAGCAACCACGTGACTGTGCGTCAGCTGTTCAGCTCTGGATCGATGACGTCAGGGCGGTAAGACAACTATAGGTTGTGAAGGACAAAACTCCTAGATTTATTCATCTCTCTGTATCGTCTTTGTCCTTGTTTTAAAAGTCCAACAAGAAATGTAGGATTTTTCTAGTTTCAGTGAAACATGTAGCATTCACAGCTAAACATCACCCGTATGCCAAATATCCCTTAGCTGCTCTTCATTCATGTAACACGACTGTAAAACACTTTTTTTCCACCCAGATGGGAAAGAGGGTGTTCTGTCCAGGGGTCAACATTACAACAGATTTGTGTTTCCTCTTGTGTTTCAAGCAAATGATTACCTTTACTTTGGCTGCAGTGATCTCACAACATAACATGCCAGATGGGTTGTTACTACAGAGAGCCATCTGTGAATGTGACGCTCTCAAGTAGCGTTTTCAAAATAATACTTGACAGCTGATTGGATGAACAATCTGTCCTTCCCTCCATCTAAGACTGACCGGCTTTGGCCAGTCAGTTTAATGGACTGGACCCAGTTCAGTTGGAGAAAATGTTTTTTATTTATTTGTTACTTTTGGACTGTGCTYAATTTAATTAGCTTCCATAGCCAACTGACCTTAGAAAACACAAAAAAAGACTATAACTCTGTAATTCTACAGGTATTGAGCTAAAATTAAGAGAATCATTCACAACACATATATTGATGAACATATTGCACAACATATGTCATTAAAACCTTYGCATTAACTGTTCAGTCCATCTGTTTGCAAAATATCTCAAAAACTACTGGATGGAAGTATTTATTGGCTGCAAATTTACAAACAACTGATTAATTTTTGGATTTAACCAAATTCAAGATGGCTGCCACAGTTGTTGCTTACATAAACCTGGTTGTACCTCAGTAAGTTGTACAGATATTGTACTAAACTTTGGTGYGGTAATAGCTGACTRTTATTCATGACACATACTCTAATAACTAAMAGATCACGAATGAGATCATAAGACYACACATAATGTCATTTTAAAGGTATTGTGGAATATCAGTTAAAAGCTTACTAAACATGTTTAGCCAGATAAGACACTGTTTTGCATTTTCAAGATGTTCCTTGGAACATCTGAAAGAGAAACAGTCACAATGCCATGCGCTTTGGATGTATTTACATATTTTTAAAGATTGGACTGCTGTCTGATCTGAGATGCACAAAGTAAAAAAGAAAAAAAAGCAGGTTTTGCAACAATCAAAAGCACATAAAAAAGCACAACATTTGCATACTTGTTTCAACTGAATGTAATTTTCTTGTGGCAGATTTGCAATTAAGATGTTTGCTGCTCCACTGTTGTTGAACAAGCCCCCCTCCCCCAAATAATCACTTTAAACATAATGGGTCAAAAGCTTTGTTAAAGTGAAAAAGCTCTGAACAAAAACACTGGAAGAGTGCGAAATCAAACGGCGTGTTTTTGTACTATTACAGCGAGCCAAAAGTGCTCAATACGTGCAAGAAAAGAAAGCGCAGGACAAACAAACCTCTGAGTCTGTTGAATTAAAGTGCATCAATGTGCCCAATTAAAGGAGCCACTTTTAAAGATTAAGTGTCGCAGCTTTATGATGAAGCATTCTGTGTGAGCTGAGCGCTGAACGAGGAGGTGGTTCAGCTTTAAATTTAGCTTGTTTAGATTTCCATGATTGAAATGAGAGCGTTTTTTTACCCCAAAAAACACAACAGCTTGAATAAAAATTCCTGAGGAAATTTGTGCCACTTGGTGAGTTTAGCCATAGCGGCCATCTTGACTTGATTCGAAAAGGCAAAAAGGTGTAGACTTCCTCAGAGTTTGCAGTCGCCCTATGCATTTCTGATGTTTTTGAAGAGGTTAAGAACAAACAAAACAGCTGTAGCCAATCAGAAAGCCAGATTTTTCTGCATTTTTATGGATCAGAGAAGAAGAGGGGCAAAAAAAGGGGAGAGAAATAATCCAAAAAGTTAGCTTTAAACAAACAATAGTTGTGCAAAAACTATAAAGTGGACTGAAAAACTCTTGAACCACGAGTGAAAGGAGAGATTTGTTCTCCCTCATGTAAAATTAAAAACCTCTCCAGTGCTTTATGCCAGAGATATGACAAGTTAAAACACTCCTCACAGCCTGTTTAGAAGGACAAAGTAAAAATAAATTAATACATTTATGGGACTGTATAGGATCTGACAAGACCACTCTGCCTTCTGGGGTTACTTGAGAAAAATCCATAAGTCAYAAAGCAATAAGAGAAACATTGGCTGAGAGGAGACAGGAATGAATTTTAAAGTATAATTTTTACAGGTATTATAAAAGATGCGGCGGCAGGAAGTTTTTTTTTCTTTGTAATTTGATCACTGATCTCTTTTTCATGTGATTGTTTCTAACAACACTGAAACTTCCAAGTATCTCAAAGTTAACAGACGAGTAAAACAGTTCAGAGACCTGGATGGTGGATATAATCATTATATAATAATGGCTGCCACTGAAAAACMTAAGAAATGCACTGCATGACTGCCTCATTTGCTTTTCTAAAGGGCAGACCACAATTAAGTAAAAAAAACTTTGATCGGCTCAAACTTTTGTATTCTGCTCA